TTCTTCATGTAAATGTTTTCTCTTTCTTATACACTGTGATGTCCTTGAAGGGAGACACTAAATTATACTTATTTACTTTAGATTCAGAACACATTATGAAATGATCCCGCAGTGGTTAATTGAATAAATAAAAAGGTACATAAATATAGAAATAATTTTCTCAAATGAATACTCACATAAGAAATATTTACAGTTCATTGTCTTTTGGAGGGATAGAATTAACATTTTGAGCCCAATCACAATTGTGTTCTTCTTTAAGAAACCATACAGTAAAATTATGCAAGTCAACATTTCTTCCTTTTGGCTCATCCTTCCCTTCCTCAGAGTGGCTCATGGTCCTCAAACTGCTGCTCCCACAGGCTGCTCTCACATGCATGATGCATTAGTGGGCTACTGGGCTGAAGTAATGATGAGCTGTCTGTTTTCACAAAGTGAGATCTTAGAATGTTCACTCCGCTGAGGTTGGAGAAAAACAGAGTTCAAAATGAATGAGCCCTGAATACAAATTAAGTTGTCACCTACTGCTTATTTGCCAAGACCTGGATATGGTGTTGGACCCAGTACCCATGCTGCCTTAATCATGAATTAATACTCCCATGCATTTTTGTGCACTTGGAGGAAGAGAGGCTCCTGGGTAGGTTAATTTGCTATGCGGCCTATGATGAGTATTTCTCACAGACTGGGGACATGTAGGGATTCAGACATGGCAAGAGAAGACTTTGCTGGGATGGGGTGTGTGTGTGATATTCATGTTGTCTCAGGCCTCAGGTGCTCGGTGAGGGCCTCTGCATCCAGAATTCTGCTGAGACCGAAGTGACATTGGAGGAGGCAAGAAGGACCCAAAATTCATTATTTGGCCACACTCCAGGAGCACTGGATGTCCCTTGCTTAGGCTCCTCCCAGTCTGCTTTGTCCAGAGTCTGTGGCCCTGTCAAGGGTTGCCTGGCCCACTTTTGTTGCTGTTAACTCCCTGCACACCTGTTCCCTGCCTTGGAGCTGGCCCGAGTGGGAGACTTCAGTCCTTGCTCCTTTGCCTCAATAAGGGTTGTTGATTCTGCTCAAAACTCTCTTCTCCTGTGTCACCTCCTTAATCCCCCACCCCTTTTATCTTATATCTCACAGCCATGCATTTATTTCTCTAAAGAGACACTGTTGCTGCCCCAGGCAGCTGGCCCTCTGTGTATCACCAACACAGACAGACCTTTGCTGCTCTCCGTCAGAGCACCTACATCACTGTGCAGCTACACACTCTCACCATTTAATTCAATAACTGACGTTTGTTATTCTCTTCAGACCGTAATTTCCATAAAAGCAGTGACAAGACAAGGCCGTACATGCTTTCTCATCATAGACACACACTGTGAAAACTTCACCTCATCCTCTCTGAAGCCACCTCTCCGTGGTGTGAAGCAAGTCTAAGAAAGCTGATAAATCAATGCTAGTGTAACTCACTTTCAGGGGATTAGCTCATTTCAGAACCACACATATACTTTAGGATGGAGGGTGTGAAGAATGATACTGCAGGCTGTTGTCGTCCCATCTCTCAGCAAGGTTGGGGATTCAGGATGCACACTTACCCCCCAGGTTTCTGACTCCTTCAAGAGCAACTGCAGGCCAGCCTTCCCATCTAACCCATAGTTCATGTCCATAGTAATGAAGTCTTTGATATTGGGGTGGATTGAACAGTATAGTAGGAATAATCATTTTTAAAGCATACTGTGTAATCTAAAGCCTGATTTCAGTACAAATTAGTGGTGATAATTTAGTGAGTTTCTTAATGTCTCTCTGGGACTTGGCATCTTTGAAAAGGACAACAAGTTATATCCTGATTTTGCTGATAGGGAATATACACAAATATAGTTTATATATGAGTAAAAACAAAGGGCTTAGAACAGTTTCTAAAATATTGCCCATTCTGCATACTCTCAAAAGTTTAATTATTTTCTAAACTTATTGAGGGTCTAGAACACACTGCATCTTTTCAAGTGCCAACACCTGAAACCACTTCCTGGGTGATCTCTTGTTATTTTATTTTTTTTTTTGATAACTGTGGTTTCTGACTCCCTTCTGATGTAAACTTGTTTACCCTTTATCTTACTTGGCTTATCATTTTCTTTTTCCCCCTCTGGTTCCCAATGCAAAGGCCACATTCTGAACTGTGAGAAATAGTCCTATTACCTCAAGTGTACTTCAGCTCTGTCCCAAGAAAACTTCAAGGTTCAATCAGCCAAAGGAGACAGCACTGGGAGGGAAGAGAGTTGAGCCAAGTGGCTTTTGTGAGGTGAAGAAACACTTTACTCCTCTGTGCTAAGTGTGCTGCAGTTCGAGTATGAAGTTTTGAACACAATACTCCTTCCCCTTTCCATCTCTTTGTGAACCCTTTGGCCAGAAAACTGGCATCACACCATCAAGGATGCCAATGAAATGATTCACCAAGATGGGCCTCCAGGGGATTCTAACACTCAAGCTAGTGACACTGAAAGTTTAGAATACCCATGATACAACTCACAGACCATGTGAAGCTTAACAAGAAGGAAGGCCCAAGTGTGGATGCTTCAATTCCACTTAGAAGGAGGAACAAAATAATTACCAGAGGTAGAGGGAGGGAGGGATCTGGATGGGAGACAGGAAGGGGAGAGGAAAGGGGGGGGCCAGGTCAGGTATTTGGGGGAGACAGGAGAGAAGCCCAGAAGACCAGAATAAACAGAAATATACAGCAGTCTGGGGTTGGGTGGGGGACAGAGAGGAACCTCTAGAAAGTCCCAGATACCAGGGATGTGTCAGTCTCCTGGGACCCAATAGCGACGATCCTAGCTGAAATGCCCAAATGACCCTAAAGACTTTTGAAAATGCCATAGGGAAACAGTACTGTAGAATCTTCCTCAAGTTATCGGCATACACATATACAAATGCTTAAGTGGAGTTAGTCTAACATAAGGGAGGCAGTGCAGCAGTACTTCGCTTTTTTTTAAAAAGGTATTGATCAATACAGTAGCAAAAATTCTCTCCAAATTACAGACTATTGCCATTGACTTTGGCTATCCTCTAGTACTTGATACTAAGATCCTATTGCTGAAGATACCACTTGCTTTTGTCATGAGAGGTAGATAAATCAAGATAGATGTGATCTGGAAGCTTCTTCCCTACTGGCTAACTTTCTTCTTGATAGAAAGTTCAATACACTCGACTGAAGGGAAAAGTAATGACTAGTTTTACCCAGCTGTGAACCCTGTGAGGTACAGTAATGACCAAGCTTGCAAGATATGCTTACTCAATGGTGGCTGGAAGATTAAGGGAGTAAAGAACAACTTTTTCATTAGATTTAAAGGCTGTTCCACAAACTGAAACTCATGCCTCGCACTGAGCTCTGAATCCCCAGCCTGATATATTTTAGGAATTAGGGGAGAACCTATTACTCTTATGCTGTTAATGAGACATAGTATTAAACTTTAATCTACATTTTTATGTTTATACCCATAGATTGCTGCATCTCTTTTCTCTCATCAGAGAATTTTTTAAAATTTTTTTATTGGATGTGTTATTTACATTTCATATGTTGTCCCCTTACCCCATAACCCAACCACCAAGGAACCCCCTATCCCTTCACCCCTCCTCCTTCTTGTCTGTGGATGTAACCCCTACTCAATTCTTCACAGAGTTGGATAGTGAAAACTATTCTCAACAATAAAAGAACTTCGGGAGGAATCACCATCCCTGACCTCAAGCTGTACTACAGAGCAATAGTGATAAAAACTACCTGGTATTGGTACAGAGACAGGCAGGAAGAACCATGGAATAGAATTGAAGACCCAGAAATGAACCCACACTCCTATGGTCACTTGATCTTTGACAAAGGAGCTAAAACTGTCCAGTGGAAAAAGGACAGCATTTTCAACAAATGGTGCTGGTTCAACTGGAGGACAACATGTAGAAGAATGAAAATTGATCCATTCTTATCTCCTTGTACAAAGCTCAAGTTTAAGTGGATAAAGGACCTCCACATAAAACCAGATACACTGAAACTAATAGAAGAGAAGGTGGGGAAAAACCTCGAATACTTGGGCACAGGGGAAAAGTTCCTGAACAGAACACCAATGGCATATGCTCTAAGATCAAGAATTGACAAATGGGACTTCATAAAATTGCAAACTTTCTGTAAGGCAAAGGACACTGTCAATAGGACAAAACGACAACCAACAAATTGGGAAAATATCTCTACCAATCCTACATCTGATAGAGGGCTAATATCCAATATATGCAAAGAACTCAAGAAATTAGACTCCAGACAACCAAATAACCCTATTAAAAATGGGGTATAGAGCTTAACAAAGAATTTTCAACGGAAGAAACTCGAATGGCTGAGAAGCACCTAAAGAAATGTTCAGTATCTTTAGTCGTCAGGGAAATGCAAATCAAAACAACCCTGAGATTCCATCTCACACCAGTCAGAATGGCTAAGATTAAAAACTCAGGTGACAGTAGATGCTGGCGAGGGTGTGGAGAAAGAGGAACACTCCTCCTTTGTTGGTGGGACTGCAAGATGGTGCAACCACTTTGGAAATCAGTGTGGCGGTTCCTCAGAAAATTGGACATAGCATTACCTGAGGATCCAGCTATACCACTCCTAGGCATATACCCAGAAGATGCTCGAACATATAACAAAAACATATGCTCGACTATGTTCATAGCAGCCTTATTTATAATAGCCAGGAGCTGGAAAGAACCCAGATGTCCTTCAACTGAGGAATGGATTAAAAAATGTGGTATATTTACACAATGGAGTATTACTCAGCTGTTAACAACAATGAATTTGAGAGTTTCCTAGGTAAATGGATGGAACCAGAGAATTTTTTTTTAAAGTAGATCAAAATTGCAACATTTTAGGGTGCAGGAGAATAAGAGACTATAGAGTAGTCAGTTCTAAATGTGACATCTGTATCATACCCCCTCAACCAATTTCTGAGAGATATCATAGAAGAGTGGTGATAGGATAGTAAGTCAGAAGTAGGGGATGTGTACTGCAAAAAAGCATTTGTTTGTCCTTACAAGGCCATTACACACATGGACTCACGGTGGCTATGATTTCATGCATACCTGTATGAGGTTAATACAGCCAATATCACAGCTTGGATTAGAGAGGAACTCATAATGTCTCAACCCTAGCTGAGGAGTTATAAGCTGTTGAGGAAAGGAGAGTCTTCTCCTTCCAGGAAAGTGGGTCCTGAGAGGCTACTCATCATCTAGCAGATGGACTTACATCCACGGACACTTAGGAAGCCCTATGTGCACTCAATGGGTTTTGAAAAGGAGCACACTGAAGGAAAGGTGGTGGATGAATAAAGAAGGAATTGAGAGGAGGAAATGGAGTTCGGGTTTGATCAAAACATATTGTATGTATATATAAAATTCTTAATGAAAAAATTAAAAAGAAGACTGATTAAAATTAGTTTTGTACT